GCGATATCATTATCGGCCCCGGTGGCTGGGGGGGGCTGGACTGAAGGACAGCACAGAGGCACTCATCCTGGCTGCTCAGGGGCAGGCCCTGAGCACCAGAGCCATTGAGGCCCAGATATACCACACCAGACAAGACCCAAGGTGTAGGTTGTGCAAAGAGGCACCTGAGACGATCCAACACATAACTGCAGGGTGTAAGATGCTGGCAGGGAAAGCCTACATGGAACGCCATAACCAGGTGGCTGGCATAGTCTACCGAAACATCTGTGCGGAGTATGGACTGGAAACCCCAAGGTCAAAATGGGAAACACCTCCGAAGGTGGTGGAGAATGACAGAGCGAAGATCCTGTGGGACTTCCAGATCCAGACTGACAAGATGGTAATGGCGAACCAACCAGATATCGTGATCATAGATAAAGGGCAGAGGAAAGCCGTTGTAGTGGATGTAGCGGTCCCAAGTGATGGAAACATCAGAAAAAAGGAACATGAGAAACTCGAGAAATACTAAGGGCTCAGAGAGGAGCTGGAGAGAGCCTGGAAGATAAAGGTGACAGTCGTGCCTGTGGTGGTCGGAGCACTCGGGGCAGTGACCCCCAAACTAGATGAGTGGTTGCAACAGATCCCGGGAACAACATCGGACATCTCAGTCCAGAAATGTGCAGTATTGGGAACAGCAAGGATACTGCGCAGAACCCTCAAGCTTCCTGGCCTCTGGTAGAGGACCCGAGCTGAATGGGGGACGGACACCACCCGAGGGGTGAGACGAGGATTTTATTATTTTTTTTATACACACACACACACACACACACACACACACACATACACATTCACGCAGCTCCCTATATGAAGCCTATTTTGAATTATCGCTGTGTCCCCCGTCATCCTGCCCTCTTGAGCTACACCGTAGCAAACAGCATGCACCTCTGCGAGGGAAAACAAATTACTCAAGGACAATGACTCATGACGGGAAGGGCTTCCGGAATGAATGTTTATGTGACACGAAAATATGCTGTCGTAGGGTTTTCATGAACCACGCTGAACAAAATTGCATTCGTTTGTAGTTTGCGTTTGAAAATATCAACACACACACACACACATGTACAAGAACCGCTTGTGCAGCTTATGAATGCTAAATATTAAGTCTAAGAGAGCAAAATCTCTTCAGATGGAAAAAAAAAGTCACATTTTCCACCCTGCATGCAAACAGGAGACAAAAGATCTTTTAAATCATGCAAATTGGAAAGAGCAGTAATTACTAACAACGTTTAACAACAACATGCTAAATATGTCACTTTTAGACAGCACTGTTTAAAATGACCTGCACAGTATTCCATTTCGGTACGGCAAAACCCTGCGTTTGACAACATCGGTGGCTGCACTTCAGGCCCAATAACTCTTCCGATCCCTTGGACAGACAAGAAAATGTCAAGTCTCCTATCTTCATTTAATACGTGCATTTAATGAATGCATCGTATTATTGCATGCATTTTGCATGGTTCCAAAATCTGACATATTTTGTCTTATTTATTTATAATTTTTGTCTCATTTTCTTCGTTTTTGCAGTGCCGCCCTTCACCCTGGTAAACAAGAGGAGGAGGATTATGAGGATGTCCCCATTAACAAGACGTGGGTCTTATCTCCAAAGGTCTATGAAAGTGATGTGACAATGATACTTAATAAACTTCTGCAAGGCTATGACAACAAACTACGACCTGATATCGGGGGCAAGTAAAACCCATCCTATTTATTTTTATGTCCTATACCCAAAACAATAAGAACACTAATACAGTATGTTAAATTAAGCTCAAATGTCTTGTGACACATCACTTGTCACCATAAATGGTTGCTGTGAAAAGCATAAATATTTTATCACATTAATGAAACAAATGACACTTGTGGAGGGTAAGATATAAAACAAACTATATTGTAATTCCTTTATGTATACTTATTATAAATCCTCTGATTCCTTTAGTGCGGCCAACTGTGATTGAAACAGCAGTGTATGTCAACAGCATTGGACCAGTCGACCCTATCAACATGGTGAGATTGTTTCTTCTCAATTTTTATTTACTGTTTTTTCACGACTATAAGGCGCCATTAAAAGTCTTAAATTTTCTCCAAAATGGACAAGACGCCTTATAATGTGGAGCGTCTAGTGTATGCGCCGAGTTCCAAAGCCTGACTGAGAGCACTTCTGGCCGACACGCTGTTTATACAGAGAAAAGGCGGACATGAGTGACGACAGGCATGCGGAAGTCCGCTAATGAGTGAAGGGTGGGCGTGTAAGAGGACGCTAAAGGCACGTCCCTAGCAGGTACCAGTCGCCAATGAGTGAAGGGTGGGCGTGTAAGAAGACGCTAAAGGCACGCCCCTAGCAGGTACCAGTCGCGTGAGTACATTGTAAAATGGATAAATAAAGTACAACCGAACTCAGTTTTGCTTCCGTTGCCTTTTTAAAAACGTGTTTTTAGCGTGTGTCCGTATGT